GACTGAAAGGACTGAACTAGGGAACGGGGCCTTCCCGAGGTGCCTCACGCCGGTCCCGGTCCTGACTGAAAGGACTGAACTAGGGAACGGGGCCTCTACTTTCCACATTTCCATAGTGTTGGTGCCTTAGAACAAAAAGTATTGTTTTCATAATAAAACACAGACTGTAATTACTGGCTTTTAAAAATACTTCATTTGGAAACTTCAAGAACCCAGGAAGTCTTTTCTGAAGGTTAATGTTCATGAAGCGATCCCTCGGCTGCCCGGACTCACCTGATGCAGCCACAGGCCGCAGGGAATGCCGGAGCCTCGGGGGGCCAAAGGACAGCACCCCCAGGAGGCCCCGTGACACGCTGACCTCCGCACACACCACTGAGACACACCTAGTGACTCTGTGTCAGGTCACAGGAAGGGTTACCTGGTGGGAGAGTCCATGGAAGAAGCCCCGGGTGAGATTGAGCATATTGACGGACCCAGACACTTTTGCATACATGTCTTTGATGCCAATGAGTCGGCACATGGTAATGATGGCCCGATGGCAGCGGAGGCCGTAACCTGGAAAAGGGGGAGAAACCAAGTCAAATACCTGCCCCCTCGCCTGCAGCACAGGCATCGATGGCCCTGCTGGCTTTCACACGGCGTCGACAGCTATGCAGTGCTGGGCACGGGGAAGAACATGGGATGTGGGTTTAGAAGCTGGTTCGTATCCCGGCTTCATCACCGTCGAGTCAATTCCAACTCATAGCGACCCTATAGGACAGAGCAGAACTGCCCCATAGGGTTTCCAAGGAGCAGTTGGTGGATTTGAACTGCCGACCTTTTGGTTAGCAGCTGAACTCTTAACCACTGTGCCACCAGGGTTCCAAGTTCAAGTAAAGGTGAGAAAAATTGAGAACAGGATGGAACTGCTATAATTTCTTTGCTTTATCTTCAATAAACTATAAGTCTTTTAGTTACCTCTGGGCTGTTTCTTCATCTTGATATGCGTCCTTTTAAACGTTAAGGAAACATCATGGAAGACTGAAGGGTAAAAATACACACATAAGAAAGGTGGCTTTGATTCCCCCGCAAATATCACACGGCAGCTAGGACAACCCTGGCAGCCAGCACACACCGACCACAGACGAGTGACAAATTTTGATCTTACTCGTTCCACAAACCTTCTCAGGGAAGAAAGGCTGTTTCTCCATTTTACATATTTATTTGTAAGAACACAATAACAAGCAGAAAAAACGAAGACAGCCACAGAGCTGTACTGCCACACAGACCGACACACCCTGAAACGCACTCTGAAAACGCTAACACTCACTCGTGTGGTCTCCGTAGCGTTCTATGTAATGCAAAAAGTTAACTGCTTTGTTCTTTGCCTGATAAAGAGAATAAAAAGATTGTTCTTCAAACTACTGTTGGAATTTACACTGTCTCAGAGATTTCAAAATTACAGTTTATAAAATATCTTACTATGGGAAATTTCAAACTTATACAAAAATTTCAGCAGGTACTTGTAAAAGGTTAAGGATTTTAAAAAAATCATTATCACACCTAAAAAAAACAATAATTCCCTAGTTTCATTGGACAGTCAGTTAGTGTTCAAACTTCCCCAGCTGTCTCATAATTTTGATAATCAATCACAAGGGTGATCAAAATGATACAAAATTTGGGTACTTTGAACTGCTTTTTATAAAGGAAGTAACCTTTGACAGCAAGCCTCATGGGACAATTCGGGGCCAATTATCGTTCTTTGTAGTTCCCATGGGGTCTAGCACATAGCTTACGGGTCCTTTACTGAACACAGCAAAGGAAAACTCCACATACTTTTCTGAAAGCGTCCATCCGTTCAGCAGCCTTCCCAACGGCAAAACCTTTAAAAGAAAAAGCAAAATCATCAGAAGGGATATAAATTTGGCCTATGATGTACCTTTCATTACATTCTAAGTTTCAGCTCCGGCCATATTTCACAGCACTTCGTCATTCTACCCCCTACAGAAGACCTGCTATCAAAAATATACGTCAAAGCATGAGGCACAGAGATGTGTTTATCTGTTTGGGGCATTCTGAAAACATTACATTTGAACAAATCTATAAAATCCAAGATTAGATGCATAACATTATCTTATATAGATAAAACAAAACATGCTCAGTAAATAAAAAAGAAAGTAATAATGGTGTAAATTAATAAGGCAAATGGTTTTGGACATTTTGGGGAACAGATTAAAATAACCACAAAGGGTGGGAAAGATGGACATTGCTGGAGTAAAACTACAATTTCACTGGAGCTTTCAATCAGACTTCACATTTCCATTAATAAGGAAATTAAATCAATGATTTCTTTCATTAACAGATGAATGGATTCACAAAATGGGGAACATACATACAGTGGAATATTATTCAGCCATAAAGAGAAATAAAGTCCTGATACACGTATGACATGGACGGACCCTGAAACATTATGTTGAGCGAAATCAGCCAGACACAGAAGGACAGCTGTCGTATGATCTCACTTACACGAAATATCTACAATAGGCAAATGGATAGAGACCAGCTCATCAGTGGTTACGAGGGGCTGAGGGGGTGGTGGGGAGTTATTACTTAAGAGGTCCTGAGCTTCTGTGTGAGGTGATGAAAAACCTGTGGAAAGAGACCGAGGTGACGGCCACGTGACACAGTGAACGTAAGTACTGTCACTGAACCATATACTTAAAAATCGTTAAAACGGCAAAATTGTTTGTTACATAAATTCTACCACAATAAAATGATTTTTGTGAATGTTCAGCCCATGAAGTGAGATTTATCACAAGTTATGGAAATGCGCCATTGTTTGCTGCCGCATCTAATTATTCTGAAGACCGCACGTTGTTTTAATTATATGCAGGAAAGTGACAGAAGGCAATGCTGCTTGATGAGACGAGCAGGCCCCCTGGGATCCCAGGGCAAAGGGGCCTGGATTCCAGTTCCTACTTCAAACAAAACAAACTAAACCACGTAAGTCCTAGCGGAAAATGTGGGTGAACTTATTTACAGTCGTCCCGTGAAAGCTTTCTAAGCAAGACAAAACCAGCAGTGATAAGAACACTGGTAAACCTGACTATGTTGCTGTCACAGGCGCCACTGAGCTGATTCCAACTCACAGTGACCCTACAGGACAGAGGAGAACTGCCCCATTGGGTTTCCAAGGTTGAAATCTGTACTGAAGCCGATTGCCAGGTTCTCTCCCGAAGAGCCGCTGGGTAGGTCTGAACCGCCAAACTCTCAGTCAGCGGCCCAGCACTTATCCAGTGTGCAAAAAGTTTTAAAGGTAAACAAACGACCAACAAAAGGCTAAGGTCCCTAACTTACAAAGAGCGTACGCCGATCAGTAAGAAAAAGAACAATCACCAACAGGGCGCATGAACTGACAGATCTCAAAGGCTAAGGTCCCTAACTTACAAAGAGCGTATGCCGATCAGTAAGAAAAAGAACAATCACCAATAGAGCGCATGAACTGACAGACCTCAAAGCGGAAATATTAACGGCCAAGGAACATGTCATACTCTCATAAAGGAGGAAACGCAAATCAAAACTAAGAGAAACTGTTCTCACATCACACTGACAAACAGCAAAGTCTGAAAATATCCAGTGCCAGCACGGGCGTGGCGGCAGAGACGAGCATAACCCGACACAGCCTTTGCAGAGGGTGATCTGGCAACGCTCACGGCACTCAGAATGCATATAACACTGGGGCAGCAAGTTCGCTGCGAGAAACTTCCCCATCAACATACCTGCAGAACTATCACACGCTGTACGTATAAGAAGCTCACTGTTAATCGGAAATACCAGAAAATTGGGAACAACGTAAACATTCCGCAATAGGGAAAAGGTTACAAAAATTACGTTTAGCCATACAACGAACACTAGATAAACGGTACAAAGAACGAGGAAGAGTCTGTTTATGTTAACATGGGAAGATCTCTGAGTACAATATTAAACAAGAAAAGCAAGGTGCTAAACCATAGATATAATAACTCTTTGTATAAATTAAACAAAAAGATATACGGTGACGTATAAATACAAAATTTCTAGAAGGATATGAAAGTAACAGTTAAGAGGGGTTTCCTTTGGCAACAGGGAGGAAGGAGGAAGGCTCTTCATTGTCCTAATCACCTGTATGTATTTCTTTTCTATTCTGAAAGTGTCACTGTGGGTCACAGGGAAGTTCTCCTGCTCTTTCCTCACATCTTCCTAAATTTCAAAAACAGATGTCCGCTGTGGAAACTTCAGAGAAAAGTATGAAGAAGAAAATTTACATCATTGCAGATCATCCTTGGCCAACCTACTCATTACAGTGACCACGATTAACCTTTCCAGTGTATATCCTTCCAGTCTTTCCTTTGCATATAAACATACCTGCTGCCGTTGAGTGGATTCTGACTCACAGCGACCCTACAGGACTGAGTAGAACTGCTCCACAGGGTTTCCAAGAAGCAGCTGGGAGGATTCGAACTGCCAACCTTTTGGTTAGCAGCCGGGCCCTTAAGGACTGCGCCATAGTACACACACACTTTTATTTAAAAACTGGAATTATATTACACATGGTCTTATGTCAAGTTTTTTTTCACTTAGCATTATTTATAAGTAATTTCCATGTCTTTAAATATTCTTTAATGGCTACAAAATATTACATTGCATGGCTATATTGTTTTTATAACTATGGCCCTATTGCTGAATATTCAGCGTTTTTTCCCCTAACTTCACTATTATGCTAATAGATGAATGTTTTAATCCTTTTAAACAGGAGTCCCTCATAGGAAAAGGCAGATGTAGATCTAGTTTTCTTTTCTCTCTAAAGAATTTCAACAAGTTTTATGAGACCAAACCACTGAAAGATTTAAGCAGTAGAAACGTCTGGCCAGCAAAATGAAGCCACGAACCCCACAGCACAAACCAGGTCACGCCGATCCTTCATTACAGCCCCACCATTGCCAGCTTTATCACACTCACCTGCGGCGCCTCTTCCGTTCCCCACAGCTACCAGCACACGGACTGATTTCTTTCTTCCCTCTTTGGCTGTCATATTGAAAACATTTTTTACCTAAAAGACAAAATGTTACATAAACATTATACCTTCAGAATATTAGGAAGTGGGAAATTGGAGTGACCTGCCTTACACATACACACACTCACACACAGAATAGATACATTGCGTGCACACACACTGACAAGATACATCACACACACGTACGTACACACATATACTCACATGCACACACACACATGCACGTGTACACACACACAGAGTAGATATATCACACACGTATGCACACACACATATACTCACACATGCACGTGTACACACACACACTGAGTAGATACATCCTCATCCAGTTCCATGAGCACCAACACTGAACTGTCTCCAGAGGGAACCTCTCTGAGGCCTGTCTCTCCAGGAGTAAAGTGGAAATAAGACTTTCTCTTCCAATTTCACATGGTTGTTAGACAGGTCAACTGAGATCATCTTTAAACGGATTTGAAACTATTCAATCCAGCAGACCCTAGCTCTACAGACCGGGCAATGAACGCTTTGTTCTGTTGTCCATAAGGTGGCCAAGTCGGAACTGACTCGAGGGCCCCTAACAACACGCGGCTCAATACACCCCATGAAGGCACCACGAGGAAGTCACCACCGAGTCACTACACAACTCCGCTACCTCCACTGGGACCAGAGTCGGGGGCCAAGAGTGACATGGTGCCATGTGCTTCTGCTCCATCCTCACTGTCTAACCTCTTCCCACTCCTAATCTGGCTTGAAAAGTACTACCAATTTTTGTTTCATGTGTGCATTTATGAGGCTTAACAACAAACACCTGGTTTGCTGGCTGCTGTTTTCAAATTAGCACAGCTATTTAAACGACTTGTCTCAGTTATCTAGCGCTGCTATAACAGAAATACCACAAGTGGGTGATTTTAACAAACAAACTTATTTTCTCACAGTTGGGAGGCTAGAAGTTGGAATTCAGGGCACTGGCTCTAGGGGACGGCTTTTTCTCTCTGTCGGTTATGGAGGAAGGTCCTTGTCTCTTCTGAGCTTCTGCTCCTGGGCGATTTTTACATGGCTTGGCATCTCTCTTCCTCCATCTCTGCTTCTTTCACTTATTCAATCTCTTGTATCTCAAAAGAGACTGACTTAAAATACATCCTACGCTAATCAGTCTCATTAACATAACAAAGACAATCCATTCTCAAATGGGATTATAACCACAAGCATGGAGGTTAGGATTTATAACACATATTTTTTGGGACACAGTTCAATTCATAACAGTCCACTCTTTAGCGCCCCCAAAATTCATGTCCTTCCCACATGCAGAAGACATTCACCCCATCACATCATCCCAAAAGCCTTAAGTCAACTCCAGGTACAAAATCTCATCTTCTAAACCCTCTAAATCAAATACGGGTGAGACTTTAGGCGTATTCCATCCTGGGGCAAAATTCTTCTTCATCTGTGAACTGTGAAATCTAGACTGTACGTTATTGGTTTCCAAAGTACAATGGTGGAACAGGCACTAGGTAGACAATTGCATTATACATGGGAGAAATTAGAAGGAAAGAAGGGATAACGGGTACCAAGCAAGTCTAAAACTCAGCAGAAGAATTTACATTAGCTCTCAAGTCTTGAAAATAATCCTCTGTTCTTTGGCACCATCTGGGCAATGGCCCTGCCCTCCAGACTCTGGGTGTTGGCCCACCCACTGGATTCTGGGTAGAGGAGGCCCCTTGGCCCTGGGCTCCAGCTCCGCCTTCAAGGCCCACTGGTTCGGCAACTCTGCTCCCTTGGCTCTAGGTGGCCCCATTCTCCTAGTCCATGTGAGTGGCAATCCCACCCCCTCAGCCCCAGCAGCCCTGATCCTCTGCCCCGTGGGGATGGCAGCCCCACCCTCTCAGCTTTGGGCAGCGCCCCCCATCCTCTTGGCCAAACTGAATGGCAGCCCCACACTCCAGGAACTGAGTTGGTAAAGATCGGATTCTTTGAAGCCTAGGAGGCCATGGCTCTACCCTTTGAGATCCCAGAGGCCGTGGCCCCACCCTTTGAGACTTAAGCAGCCCTGCTTCCCATGCTCCTTCCAACAGTTCTGTTGCTCTCCAAGCTGCTCCAGGGATGGTTTTCTTTTCTTTTCTTAGAGGACAACAGATGTGGCTCCTTTGGCCTGTTTCCTGCCTATGGAATTCCAAAAGGCAGACAGCCTTCTCTCTTTTCGTCCTTTCTCTGTTCCCTTCAGTCTAAGCTGATGGGTTTTCTGCTGTGGTAGCTGATTAGAACCATCAGTCACAGGCTTAATTTCTTTAACAAAGGATTGTATAGCCACGTCCTTGATGAAACTTCTAGGACATGTGTCCTTAGTTTGTACAACAGAATTTTCCAAATCTTTAAGTTTTGTTTAAATTTCACACAGTTCATTTTTAAGTCCATCTCTTTCCTCTTGCATTTTACTATGAGCGGCAAGGAGAAACCACGTGGCCCCTTTAAGATCTTGCTTAGAAATCTCATTAGCCAGATATTCAAGTTCATCACTTACAAGTTCTACCTTCCACCAAACATTTCAACATAATTCAGACAAGTTCTTTGCCACTACATAAAAAGCATCGCCCTTCCTCCACAGTCCAATCACATGTTCATCATTTCCTTTTAAAGCCTCACCAGAAGCACATTTGATGTCCACATTTCTAGCAACATTCTGTTGCTGGCGCCATATGTGTTCTCTAAGATGACAGAGACTTTCTCTATAGCTGTCCTCACTTCCTTCTGAGCCCTCACCAGAACTGCCTTTGACGGCCATGATTCTACCAACAGTCTCTACAAGGCAAACTCTTCCAGCCTCTACCCATTACCCAATTCCAAAACCACTTACACATTTTAGGTATTAGAGCAGCACCGCCACTTCTTGGTACCAAATTCTGTCTTAGTTATCTAGTACTGCAATAACAAAAATACTACAAGTGGGCAGCTGTAACAAGCAGAAATTTCTTTTCTCCCAGTGAGGAGGCTAGAAGTGCAAATTCAAGCTGCCAGCTCTAGGGGATGGCTTTCTCTCCATGTGGGCTCTGGAGGAAGGTCCTTGTCTCTTTGAGCTTCTGCTCCTGGGCAATTTTCTTGTGGCTTGGCATCTCTGTTTCCCCATCTCTGCTTCTTTTGCTTGTTTGTTTAATCTTTAATATCTCAAAAAAGATTAACTTAAGACACACCCTATACTAATCCAGTCTCATTAATATAACAAAGACAACCCATTCCCAAATGGGATTATAACCACAGGCATAGAGGTCAGGATTTACAACACATATTTTTGGGGGACACAGTTCAAGCCATAACAAAGGCCAACACTACTGAACTGCTAACTACACTGCTTACAAGGCAGCTGGCTCTCTGGTTCAAGGTGGGCCTTTCCCATAAAATGGGCTTAAAGGAAAAGGGGGCCTCCTGTAGTATCCACTCCTATAACCTTACAGGAAATCACCCACACAGACGAATTCTTCAAAGAGATTACTTTCCAAAAGGTATAAGCTGAAATGCCGAAGACATAAAATAATTGTAAATGTATTTTAAATTCTACAATGCAATAATTGATACTGAAGAAACAGTATACATATTGAAAGAGAACAGCTCACAAACTCAACATATGGCCCCTGGGTGGCACAAATGGTTAAGTGCTTGACTACAAACCAAAAGGTTGACAGTTCAAAACTACCCAGAGGCGCCTCGGATAAAAAGGTCTGGTGATCTGCTTCCGAAAGGTCACGGCCTTGAAAACCCTACGGGGCACACACAGTTCTACTCTACAGACACACGGGGTCGCCATGAATCAGAATTGACTCGACAGCAACTGGTTTGGTTCTATGCAGTGCCAGTTCGAAGGAAAACTGACCATCTCGGAGGACGCCCTGAAAAGAGTGACTGAAGTTTACTTGATACGGGCTCCCGTTTCAAGGGCCTGCAAGCAGACCAACAGACTGCGTCCTGTCAAGAGCTGGACGTTCACAGCAGCTCCAGCCTTTCTACCCCCGGCCCCGTGCTCCTCCCGATGTCTGCTCCGAGTGCTAGGTGCAGAGGGTTTACAACTCAGTAACAGACTGCAAACGCTACTTTAACTTCAGAGAAGATGACATTTAAATATAATCTCCAAAACCTGTTACCAACAATTCCGCCCAAAGTTGCCTTGTCATGAGACCTCAATTTGGTAGCTCCCCTCTAAAAGACGGGGCAGCAATCAGAGCCAATGCCAAGTAACTGAAATTAAAGTTTCCCTACTTCCTTACCCAGACCAGCTCTGGGTCTCAAAAAAGGTCCTGCAGCAAAGGCTTTTCTTCATAATTCCACTTGCCCCACCCCTATCCCACCCACCCAGAGGCTTCAACAGGTATTTAACTCAGCATGCCTACCTCAAGTATCCTGGTATCAAAATCCTCATATGTTTCTGTAGGGCAAAAAGAAACAGACACAGAGATAAAAGTATCTACACAATTAACAATGAAAGCATTTTTCAACACAGCCACCATCACAGTTCTTTTGGTGCCATTCCCAAGGCCACACCCTGGCCTCCCATCATCATCACAGACTGCTCCACCACCAATCCATCCGCTCCGTCACTCGAGTCCCTGACTGCGTCCTGCTACCCTCCAGCTCTCTCACACAGTGACTCTCAAGGCACCGGTTCTGCGGCTCCCCAGCACCTCCAGACCCTCGACCGCCGCCTTCCCCTTCCCCATCGCCCCTCCAGTCTCACATGCTCTCCTACTCAGTCCTTCATTTCCACCAGATCTGTCAAATGTCCTCAACTCCCTCACCCTCTTCTCTCTCCACCACACTATCCAGGCCTAAATCAACGCAGCTGTCTGCCCACACCCGGCCTGCTGGGGAGACGTGAAGGCACAGCACGCGCTCTGCCGCTAAAAATTCATGGTCTCCAACTCAGCCAAGTCCTCTTTGCAGTCTGCTGGCCTTTTATGCTCATTTAGTTAGATCTCTCCACTCACAACTACTTCAAACCCTCTCTGTGTTCTTTTTACAGAAAATGTTAGCCATATACAAAAACAGAGAACAGCAGAATGAAGGCCTATGTGCCCATCACCCAGCTTCATCAATCATCAACTATGGCCTATCTTCCTTGCTCTAAACCCTGCTCAACTCCCACCCACTGGAAAATTCTGAAGCCAGTCTCAGATAATCTGCAATTTCATCAAGAAATACTCTGGTGAGTCACAAAAAAAAAAAACCAGACTTACTGGTCTGACAGAGACTGGAGAAACCCCGAGAGGATGGCCCCTGGACACCCTTATAGCGCAGTAATGAAGTCACGCCTAAGGTTCACCCTTCAGCCAAAGATTAGACAGGCCCATAAAACAAGACAAGACGAAAGGGGCACACCAGCCCAGGGGCAAGGACTAGAAGGCAAGAGGGGACAGGAAAGCTGGTAATAGGGAAACCAAGGTCAAGAAGGGGAGACTGTTGACATGTTGTGGGGCTGGCAACCAATGTCACAAAACAATATGTGTATTTTAATTGTTTAATGAGAAACTAGTTTGCTCTGTAAACCTTCATGTAAGGTACAATAAAAATTTTTTTTTAATTAAAAAATAAAATACTAGTAAATTAACAAAGTAAAAAAAAAAAAGAAAGAAAGAAAGAAATACTCTGGTGGCTGTGTTCATTAACAGCCCACCCCACTCTCTGCGGAAGGCCCCATCTCCTCCTCAGACTCCTGCCAGAGAGACACCAGCCTTCCACTACCTGCCCCACCACTACCAACAGTACAGGCTCAGCTGGATCTGTACCCTGCCCTTCTGTTACAAGTTCATCGATTTCTCCAGACTGATCTGGGCCCTCAGTAGGGATCTTCGTTAGGGTTAGTTCTCTCCCGCCCATGCTTCCATCCTCCCGACTGAAGCACTGCGCTCAGCCGGAAGCAGGCTAGCCTAAGTCTCTCCATCTGAACCCCTTCCTCCTCTGTGAGCCCAACTTACAAAAGCAGCCAAACTCATGTCTATTTCCTCATCACCCACGGACAGGAATGCTTTTTTCAGATGATTTTTTATTGCTTTATATGCTGGAGTTGGGGCCAGGGCCTCTGTTTTCTAATTTGGTCTGTAAAGTATTATCAATTTTTATTTCATGTGTGCATCTATGAGGCTTAACAACAACATCTGGTTTGTTGACTGCTGTTTTTGAATCAGCACTCCCACGCCATGTTGCTTGATAGGTACCTGCGTGGTCAACTGTGTTTGAGAAACACCACATCCTACAGGCGGCTCGCAGAGATCCATAATGCACACAACCACGCTCAAGGCTCTGGGAAGCCCCACAAGAAGGCACCAGGAGCCCGTCCTATTTGTAGGCTACTTCTTGACTACGGGTCACTGGTGTTCCATAACATATAGCTGGATGATAATGTGATATATTATTTCAAAGATACTCAAATCTCTGTTTGGAATAAAGCAATCTAAATAGACAATAAGATCATTTCAAGGAACTGAGAACTGCATGTACTCTCTCTCATAAAGGCAAGGAAAACCAAGACTCCGTTACCTCCATTGGGACCAGGGTCAGGGGGGCCAAGACTGACGCCTCCCCAGGTGTTCCCGCTCCATCCTCGCTCCCGTTTAACCTTAATTTTCTTCCTCCGTTCCCACTCTTCTCTCTGCTGGACTATGCTGGCCTCGACCTTCTCCTGCTCCTCCTTGCTTCTCTGGGCAATGCTCTGCACTGTTCCATTTCTCATAAGAGGGACGTTCAGACCAGGCCAGAGGAAACCAGAACGGCCTGAAGGGTTAAAACATAAACAAATATTTTAAAAGCATTTCTTTCTCCTCGAGTGTTAAAATGTCAGGCAACCTGTGTATAGATGATAACACAGAGCTGCTGGGATCATAAGCTAACGTAATCACGGACAGGCCACCTGGCACCATCTGTTATGATTTTAAGTGTACAAACCCTAAGAGCTAGAAATTTCACTTCACGTTATCATCTCGAGAAATACTCACACACAGGCACAAGGCATGTGAGTACTTGGACAAGGACATCCACTGAAGCATCATTTGCAAAGACAAAAAACAGGAACAATTTAAATGTACAGTAACAGTGGAATGGTTAAGTGAATGATGCCATACCCATCCCGTGAAACATTCCATGTTAACTAAAAACATGAAGCAGAGCTACAGGTACTGGTGTGGAACAAGTTCCAAGACCTGCCGTATCTTTACGCAAATAACGCGCGGCTTCTAGGCTGGTTTGCCAACTGCGCCCTCCCCCTGCGAGGTATTTTCGTAAACGCCGCTATGCCAGTTGCTGTAAAAAAAAACAAATTAGCATAGCATGCTTACAAAATATCTTGCGGAGGAGGGTGCGGTTGGCAAACAAACATAGAAGGTGCATATTATTTGTGTAAAATGTAGTATTGAATGAAAAAAGTAAACTGTAAAACAGCCTGTGCCATGATACAATTTCATTATTTTTAAAAAGAAAAAAAAAAGCATATTATGTAAATAAAAGCACTAAAAAATACCTAGATTGAAAGACACCAAAATAACATCACTGGTTTCTTCTGCGGGGGCACCTGGGGCTGGGGGGACAGAAAGGGGCATCGAGGGAGACAGAGAGGGGCATCGAGGGGGACAGAGGGGCATCGAGGGGGACAGAGAAGGGCATCAAGGGGGACAGAGAGGGGCATCGAGGGGGACAGAGGGGCATCGAGGGGGACAGAGAGGGGCATCGAGGGAGACAGAGGGGCATCGAGGGGGACAGAGAGGGGCATCGAGGGGGACAGAGAGGGGCATCCAGGGGGACAGAGAGGGGCATCCAGGGGGACAGAGAGGGGCATCCAGGGGGACAGAGAGGGGCATCCAGGGGGACAGAAAGGGGCATCGAGGGGACTTTAGGTTTCTCCATAACCTTTGGATGTTTTACTGAGGAGGTATACATATGATATTCTTAGCACGTTTTTTAAAACGAGTTGATTCAAATGCAGTCACGTATCACTTTACATCCATGATACATTCTGTGAAACAGGATGTTATGCGATTTGGACGTTGTGCTAACATGCTTAAATCACCAGCAATAAACAGCGTTTGCTGATTTTCCATCCTCGTGTTGGTTAACAACCTTGTGTCACTTCCAAATGGGTACGTCTCCTTTGCCTCTTGCGGCTCCTATCACTAGCCTTGGTTTTGCTGCATGTGGGAGCCATGATGTACTTCACGGTCATATTTTTGAAAGAAAATTAAACAGAGAGATAACACTACAACACTCAAAAGACTCACTATTACACGAGATTGGATGCTGCTGCCTTAGAGTTGAAGCATACACTGTTATAAGGTAAACTTTTTATTTGTAAGTAGGGAAAGTTCACATTAAAATAACGACACGAAGTACGGTACATAAGCAAGCCAGTAAATAGGCGTTTATTGTGACTATCAAGACATCTGTATTATAGGTTATATATGGACTGTAACAGTATATGCCCGACAGTGCAATCACTCTGAATACAAGAGACATGAGATACACATTGTATGCAGGAAGCTGTTGCGTTCACTATGCCCATTACATCCCATTCTCCAATCGGGATTTCTGAACTCTATTTATAACCTTATGGGATCAGAAGTATACGCGGTTGGACACTGCCCTAATGGACATTATGTGGCACATGACTGTACATTATTCTACTGCTATTCTTCAAAAAACACCAATATAAACTATCATATGTTCCCGGGGTGGGCAACTAAGGCCAGTGGGCCAAATCTAGTCCACCGCTTGTGTTTGTAAATGAAATTTCAGTGGAGCACATAGATGCTCATTTGGTTATGTATTATTTATAGCCAATTTTGTACCACAACAGCAGAGGTGAGTAGTTACAAGAGACCATGTGGCTCACAAAGCCAAAAATATTTATTACCTGCTCTTTGCAGAAAAAGTGTGTCAAACCCCCATTTATTCCAGGTTCTGGCACTGAGCTGTACACTCTTTGAGGGAAGGGACTGTCACACAGATGGCACACCATGGACCCTAAGTGCTGGCTGAATGAATGCCTGGATGAATGAATCCCTTTCTATGGGATTTTTTCCTCCAGTATCCTGGGGCAACGAGTAAACCATTTGAAAAATGCAGATCCTAGTGCCCTTCATGAGAAACGTTTTGATATCTGTAAAACATCTATAAAATCGGGGTCAGTGGGGGAGGAACTTAAAAAGCACTTTAGCTGATTTTATAAAGTTTACCTTCACCAACGATCTGGCCCCTGTTCAAATCCTTTCTTCTCCTTTTCTTAGCTCTTTTGCCTCTTCCTTTTCTTGCCCCAGCACCAGTCTCTGCCAAAGCACCTTTCCAGAGCTCATCTGCTGTCACTGTAAGGAAAAGAGGATTTTCTCACGCTGTCAAACAATGACCGATGGTCTCCTGTTAAACAAAAAAAGCCAGAGAAGCCATCTTCACCCACATCACTGAGTCAATGAAGCAACGTTAAATCATCCTTCTCACATACCACACGGTTGCCACTGGAGGGCCCAAGAGGAGACAATTCTGTTACTTTTCCAGAATAAGGCCTTCCCCCACAAAAGACGGTCAACATTTAAATCTCAGTTACCACTAGGTCTACTTCCCTGACGTTTTATCATCTACGATATTGATCTCTTCCTGGTCCTCTTGCCTCCGTTATAACCACTGAGACAGTCAATAGCTATCCCTCCTAGAGGGGTCTTAGCCCAAACAAAAATCAACATTTCAATCTGCACCCATAAATCTTAAGAATGTGGATTGTTTGTTCTATCCTCCTACAAATGTCCTAATGATTATAATCTCTCTGTATATTCTTCAAAATGAGATGCTCAAATTCACCTTCAACTCTAGTTAAGGTCTAACCAATACGTAGAAAAGAATATTTAAGAGTGATAGTTAACGTGTGTGCGCGCGCGCGTGCGTGTGTGTGTGCGCGTGCGTGCGTGTGTGTGCGCGTGCGTGCGTGCGTGTGTGTGTTTCTTTTGTTATGCTTGTCTTTTGCTTTATGTATAGATGGATACTATTGATCTATTTCTATTTGTGAATTTCCAGAATCCCCAAATCTTTTTCTATCATGTATTTCAATCAATGTTTTCCCTCTGTACTGGTGGAATATTTAGAGTCTTTACTTGACCATCACTGAATTTTATTGGTGCAGCTACGTTATTTACTGGATTTAAATTCTGTCTTCCCAAAGACTTCTAACCTTTCACAGTAACATCAGTCAATTTTATAACCACAGACCCATTCCACTATCAACTTACTTAATCAAGAATCATCACTCACTCACATACACGTCATACTAGTCAAAGATCTAAGATACATAAACCAACACGCCTGGAACACTAAACATTCTAGTAGACAGATCAGTATCTTCCTTCTCCTTCTCTATGAACTCTTGGGGTTTAAAAGTTCTCCCCAGTTGCTTCCTGAAAGGCCTTACCTTGATTCTCTCGGTAGAGAACACGGAAAGAGAAAAATGTTCTAGATTTATAATAACTGTATTTTAAAATGCTTTATATCTGTATAGTATTTCACTTTTCAAAACACACACATAGTATTATAGCAGATCTTCGTAAGTGAGATTCCACATCACCGTGCCACTTTGTGCGTACATGAAGGGAGCAAAGGGTTAAGCTGGGACTTTCGGCCAACGCTAATTCATTAAAAGTTCTGACCACAGGTTCCAAAATAAAGTCACCAACCTCAAACTAAAGTCTCCCTAAAGGTCTGATTTTCTTTCCTAACTGTTACAAAACGGCAACACCTGCAAACCAAACACGAAAAGTTCACAGTGAAAGCACTTTCCATGGGGGCGCACTAAAAGGCCAATCCATTATAGAGGTCTCCTTAGAATAAGGAGATCACTCAGACTATAAGGGACTCAGTTTTAAAAAGAACTTGATACTGAGGCAAAAACGTTAAAAATTAAGAATTTAGCTCAATTAGAGGAAAGTAAAATCAAATTTCCAACTACATTAGAAAAAGATAGCAAGTCATATATCAACTTTTGATTGCCATTATACTATTAAAATATTTTTAATCTTTTTTCAGATTATAAAAGTTATTTTTTAAAATCTAGAAAAAAATATAGACAGCATAAGAATAGAAAAACAAATCATAACCCCATCACCAGTTAGATCACAACGTACATTCTGCCTGTCTTCTATTTTACTGGTGCATGCAAATATGTGTATGTATATTTGTTCTGTTTTAAATAAAACTGAAATTATACCATATATACAATTTTGTATCTTGTTTTTGCACTTACTATTATACTATGAGCCTTTT